CCCAAAGACTGGGATCCATCCAAAAGACAGAGCATCTCAAGATGCTCCTGCCAACCCTGGCCTCCTCATGGGTCATCTGAATAAGGCCATAGCCACTTCCAGGAAGAGGCTGGCTACCACCACTATCACCTAACCAGGGAGGGGCTTCTCGGCTTCCCATCTGCAGAGTAAGGGGCTGGTTGAGGAAAGCACAGGAAGGCCCAGCTCTGGGCCTTGGCTCCCTCCTCAGCCTGCCTCAGTGTTCTGCCCATCAGGATAGTTCTTACCCACGACACTGCCAAGAGTCATAATCTGGATTAGGTCCCACTCCTGGGCTCCTTTGGTTTGTGGAAATAAAGTGGTCACAATGTCACAAGGCCTTGTCCTGGGCAAGGGTGACAGCACCTGACTCATGGTGGGCCCTCAGAAGCCAACAGTATGGGGGAAGAATCTGAGATGACCAGATGCCCGTCATGGACTGCGCTCGGGGGCAGACCCCGCAGCCGCCCCTCCCGGCCTGGGCCCACACTCACGTTGCGGAACTCTCGGAAGGGCACAAACTGCACGATGTCGCGGGCCGCCTCCTCGCCGGTGTGTGAGCGCAGTCTGCGGTTGTCCCCATCCAGAAACTCCATGGCTGCGAAGTCAGCATTGCCCACACCCACAATGATAATGGACATGGGCAGCTTGGAGGCCTGCACTACAGCGTGCCGCGTCTCCTCCATGTCGCTGATGACCCCGTCGGTGATGATGAGGAGGATGAAGTACTGCTGTAAGGAGGAGTCAGCCAGGCGATGACTGGGAGTGAGACCCTGACACCCCTCCTTTCTGAATGCCCAAGGCCTGGAGGAGGCAAACGGCCCACACAGTGGGACGTTCCCTGCTCTGGGCCCTGGACTCAAGGTCCGCCACGTGCTCTGCAGTACAGCTCTGGGCCACTAAGGACTCAACCTGCTGTCCTTGACTTTCATCATCTCTAAGCTGAGAATTACTGCGCAGAGCTGTGTGTCAGCTGCCCGACAGGCCCAGGCCTGCACAGGAACCCATTCTAGCCGGTATACCGTCCCTGGGGCTGGCCTACCTCCTCGGTCTTTGTGGGCAGGAGTACTTGTAATCTGTTAGCTCAATACTTAGCACAGACGGAGACACGGGCAGGGGCTAAGCCCAGGTTATCTGGGCCATCACTTCCGGCATGCGGATCAGGGACACGTCTAGGTCATAGTGTCAGAACCGGGGCAGGAGGAGGAGGTGTACAGTGGTCACCCTGTTCTACACACAGTGCCCAGGAGGCAGCCGTGGTGCAGACCGGTGTCTTAGGCCTCTGGCTTTCACGGACCCTCTTCATCAACAGAAGGAAGGGAGCTCAGGGCCTTAGGCAGCATGGGCTCCTGCTAGACCCTAACTCCACTGTAGTCTGCTCTGGGTCTCCCTTATTTATGGCAAGTGGCACTAAACTGTCATATAGTGAGGTGTGTTTTTTATAAATGATTTCAGTTAGAATATATTGAATAGTGGACATGGGTAATCTAAGGATAAAGTACACACAGGATGACTTGGTATGGAGAGGATAGATGACATTCTGGAAATTCACAGGACAATCCAACAAGTGGGCCTTGGACTTGGAGTTGGCTGGTACCTTACTTTCACCTCAGCACTATCCTGGCCATCTTGGAGCCCTGTTCAGAGGAATTCAGGGTTCTGCCCTACCCATCTGCCCCACCCAGATAAGCCATGTCCTGATTCACTGTTGGGGGCTCGTGTCCTCTAATCTGACTCCTAATTGCCAGAAGAGAAAGCTATGAAGCTTGGGGAGGGCAGAGGTGACCCAGGTGGGCATGAAGCCACCTTCTCAGCTAGCAAAGCTGTGCGACTTCCAGACGATACAAACCTGCCTCTTCGATCCCAAAGCACAAACTACAGGTCAGGATGTGGTGGGCTGGTGCAGACACCCGCCCCTCCCTCCCCACCCCAGCGCCAATGCTGTGCCTTTAAGAGACCAATCCCCTGGCTGGGGATAGTTGTTGCCATGGAGATTGTAGCCTGAACTCAGCAGTAGAGAGCTGCTGCCAGCCCCTAGCCCTGGTTTTATCAGTCCATCTCGACCCTTTCCCTGCCATTGCCGTTTCAGGGTCCCTTCCCTAGCTGGCTTTTTATCCACATTAACCTCGCCTACTGGGCAGTTCAGGGCAATATTCTTGGGATACTTGAGCTGGCAGAAAGGAGGGCAGGAAGAGGCCTGATACGGAGGAAAGAAAGGTCTAACTGGCTGCTCAGTCAAAGGTAGCACTTGTCTTCAAGCCCCACCCAGCTCATACACGTGGCCCCACCTCCCCATGGTCCTCTTGCTCTCTGCTGTCTGCCTCCCCAAGGATCTGAGTGCAGAAAGGCAGAGCCTAGGTTCCTGCAGGACTGTGGGTACGGCATGGAGGGCAAGAGGTTCCTGAAAACATAGGCCCTTTAGCAGACAACCTGACTGTGAGTCTGGCTTAGAGACCGCCTGAGGGCTCAGAGGAGTTACATGGCTTGTTAAGGTCCCGTAACAGGTAACTGACAGGTTCTAGGTTCATGCCCAAATCTGCCTGACTTCAAAGTCAGGGCTCTTTCCACTGTATTGATAACTGGGCACAGTGAGCCTGCCAGGGAAAAGCTCTCTTGTCACCCATTAATCTGGGATTGGAGATTATGAATGACTGGGACAGTGGCCTAGGGCAGAGTCCATTAACCCTCACTCCTAGGTGCCTCAGCCAGCCTGGACAAAGCCAGGGTCATCATAAACTGGAGCTTCAAAGATCCACCACCACTCCAGAGGCCCCCAGAGCAAATCAAAAGGGCTGTGGAGGGAGAGAATGGAGCAGGAGGGTGGAAAGGGACTCAAGTCCTGGTGCCCTACTGTGCTGGTTCCTCCTGATACCCTTCCTAGCCACAGCTTGTAAGTTGTTGAGTGTCGAATCCTGTCCCAATCAAATGTGCCCTCTGCTTCCATTGCCAGCAATGATTCCACAGGAGGTCCCTACACACACTCCTTCCCTACACCCTAGGTGCCCCGACAACCCAAGCGCATATTGCAGGTCATGGGCCAGGAGCCCAATCGAGGCCTCAGAATCAGCCACATCATCAAATAGAGTCCCTGAACCAACTCCCAGCACATCCAAGGAGTAGAGCATCTCTTGCTGATTCCAGGCATGCCTCAGGGTGCTAGGATTGTGCATGGCTGCTTCTCCTAATGCACTGATGAATGGATTCATAATAACTGGCCTGACCACAACAGTTCCAGGAAGAGTCTGGGGAGGCTGATAGTTTCTGAAAAATTGGCTGTCAAAGGCCCTGGGATGGGAGTTAGAGCCATTTCTAGGGGGCTGGCTGCTGCTTATACTCCAACACTGGATGCCTAGGCCTCCAACCAGGAATGGGCCACAAAAAAACAAGGCCTTACTGACCAAAGCAGAGACCACTTTCAGGCTACTCAAACCTGCTCATTCCCCTCCAGTGGCTCCCCATTGCCCTCAGGAGGAAACCACACAGAGTGCTTGATGGCTTCCAAGGTCCAGTGGGACATGGCCAGCCTTTTCAACCTTGCCTACCCTGTCACAGTCCCCTTACCCATGCCTTCTATCCGCTATACCCATACCCCACACCTTTGCACATGCTGTTCTCCATGCTGGGCCATTATATGCATATACTCACCCATGCACGTGCATACACACGCACGCACGCACGCACGCACATACATACCCCTATGAAGATAACTCTTAAGAATCTCTCAAGTCTAAGCTTGGACATCCCCTTCTAAGCATCAGCCTTGCCTGGGGTCCGCTGTCAGTTAGATAGCCCCTGTGTGGTGGTCCTGTACTGCAACCATCCCAGGCTTAGTCACACTGCATTGTTGCTGTGGCCTCCCAGCTAACTCCCACTAGCTTGTAAGCTGGACCTCACTTGTCCAGGTATCCTTGAGGTCGCACAGAAATGCTCAGGAAGGAACAAATGAATGGGAGAGTGAGGCCTGCTGGAGACGCTGCCACCTGCCCTCCATTTCCTGCACGTGGGTGTGCTGCATGTGCCAACGTGAGCAGACAAGATGAGGGAGGGTGAAGTCACATCAGATTCCCCAGCACCAGAACACGGCTAAAGAGAAGCAGCAGCTGACCCATCAATTACTCCCATTTGCTGTGGGCCTCACTGTGCACAGCATTACCAAATGCTAACCTGAGTGGTGCCCTTGGACGTTGCTGAGACCAACACATCGTGTGTGCCAGGTTCTAGGCTGAACAAGGGGGCGGGGCTGGAACCAGGGTCTTTCCCCTCGATGCTGAGTCACCCCACAGCCCCTACTCACCTCCTTTGGTGGAGGGGGTAGAGGCAAGTGGTGGAAAAGTCTGTATCTGCTCCTGGGCCTCCAGAGTGGGAGGTAAAACAGATACCCCAGGCCCTACTCTGTCTCGGCTAGAGATGCTTAGGTATCATCTGAAGTCAGAAGGCCTTAGGGGTAACAGCTTACCCCAGGAAGCCAAGGGTGGCCTGGAGTAGGTAAGAAAGACCAAAACAGAGCTCATTCCAGAGGGGTCAGAGCAGGTGTCTGTCTGAGCACAGGTCTCCAATCCTTTTGCTCAGAGCAAAGGGGAGGCATTCACTGGTGAAGTGGGGAGGGGTGGACAAGAACCCAGCAGACCTGGAGTCCCTCAGTCATGAAGGCACTCGTCTCCAAACTCCACCTCCTGCCCAGCTGACGCTTGGCTGGCAGCAGGTCCAGCAGGAGTCAGAGCCCTGGCACACTGCTGGGATGTGCTTGTGTTCCCTGCCCAGATGGCTTTGCCTGAAGAAGGCGGCAGGCCTGCTTTCTTACCTTTGTAAGACTCATGTAGCCAACAGCCTTGGTGGCCCCGAGCTTGGCACCCTCACAAGAGGGTGGTGAAGCTGAAGGCTGCCCCTTACTCTGCCCTATCCAGGCTACTGTATCTCAGAACCCCCCAGGAGCTAAAGAAAACAACAAAACGACCCCTGCCAGGCCTCACAGAGTTGCTGCCCATTCTGGTCACCCCATCTTACATCGCCACAGGGGTCAGCACGTCCACTGCATCAGAGGAAATGGGCGGGCGTCAGTTCTCAGCTGCCGCAGTCAGGGGGCTGAACTGAGAGACTCATCCAGCACAGATCACTAGCCCCTTCCTGGCTGCCCCTACCTCAGTGCTTTGTGGGCACTATCCCTGCCTTCCTGAGATGCGGTTCAGGCCTTGGAGTGGGGTACCACGGGATTATCGAATGCTAACCTCCTCAGGCAGTCTGGCACGTTCCCTGGTGACACAAACTGGACACTGATCTACTCTAGGCACACAGAAAGAAGGGTAGAGCACATGACTGGGATGGGCTTCATCCCCAGAGCCGGGGTCTGCCTCCAAGGCACTTAGGACAGACCCGCTTCTTCCCAGAGCTAACCCTGTGTCCTCTTCTCAGTGCCGCACCCTCCTTCAGTCTCTGCAGCTACTTCAGGAAAGCCGACCTCTGCTTCCTCCGTGACCAGGTACCTCCTTCCTCCGACCAGTCCCACAGTGGCCCCCTTATGCAGTGTGTAGAGCCTTCCCTCCGGGACAGGCTAGTGGCCTGGTCTCACTGACCTAATCCCATCTGTCTACGGAGCACTGCGTCTCTGTCACCCACCAGGCACTGTGCCTGGTTTAGAGTCTGCAGGGAAGTGAGCGCAGAGAGTCCTGGCTCACGTGACTGGATCTGGAACCATCCAGTGCAGAACCTGTGGCCAAGAGGTTGCTAGGCTGCCACAGAGGCAAGGACGGCTCCGACGGAGCAGGAGCACAAGGAGATGGCCTTGCAGGGCCAGTGAGTCACCATGCCCTGTGGGAAAAACGTCCACGTGGAAGCCCTGGCACGTGGCCAGGGAAGGTGCCGAGATGACCAGGGCTGCAGATGCCCAGGCTGGTCGCCCGTCACATCGCAGGTACTTACCCCACACTGCAATCTTGCTACCGAGCTGCAGGCCGGGGCTAGACAGTCTGCAGCCTTCCCTGTATGGCTTTGGACCACAGGGCCGAAGGGCCAGCCTCTAAGCCACAGGGATCAGGTAGTAGCAGCCCCTCCCTAGGAGACTTCCGGGGCGACAAGTCTCACTTGCAATGCTTTAATGGCACTGCTTTCCCGAGTCGGGCTCTAGGAGGCAAGGCCCATCACCAAACGAGGCTTGGTCAGCCTCAGAACCCGATGGACGGCAGCCCAGAGAGAGCCTGCAGCTCACCTGGACAGGGAACCAGGGGATACCTTCCTCTCTAGCCCCTTACTGGCAGGGAGATAAGAGCACACATCCCAACCTGATCTCCCTCCTGCTGGGCAGGGTGCCAGCCACTGCCGGCCTCATCCCCGCATGCACGGGCCCTCGCTGCCCACTTACCGTTGCCGTCTGCTGCTGTGTGGCCTGCGCTGCAAACCGGGCCACGTGGTTGACAATAGGGGAGAAGTTTGTGGGGCCATAGAAGCGGATGTGGGGCAGGCAGGCTGAGTACGCCTGGGCGATGCCATCCACGCCTGCAGAAGACGACCTGGATCAGCCCGGGGCCTCTGGGCTCCTGGCCTCATCCTGCTGCTGACAAGGCGCCTACTTCGTGCTCCCCCAGAATGCCCCTGCCGTTGCCAGTATGGCCTTGAAACAGAGCGCTCTCAAGGGCAGGGCTAAGGTGGTGGCGTAGAGCCTGGCTACGAATCAGATAGGCCTGAGTTTTGGCCTGGGGTGAGCTGTTGATGCTTTCTGAGCCTCTCCTTGTGGGCAAATGACCAAGAAGGGGCCTGACAAGTAGGTGACATGGGGAACTATCTGGAGGTCCATCCTGGACATTCCTTGGCAGCTGCTCTGGTGGGGGCGGGGCTTGAACAGCTCCTTACATCCCAGGTGCTCTCCAAGCGGCTGCCGTCATGACCAGCCAACACTCCACAATACAAGTTCCTGGCCAGGTGGCCTCTGGCTAGGGTTGACATGGACCAACCTAAATTAGACATATCTTTGAGGACCTGAGCCCAGGGAGCACCAGACCTCAGTTATGGCCAAGGGATGCCCTCTAGTCCCAAATCATAGCTACAGCCCTGCCGTGACATGAGGTACCTCCTTATCTGTGGAGGTCATCTGTTCCAGCCTCAGGACCCCCCAAAGGGAGTGGATGACCTTCTTATTCCCTCCAGCATCCTCTCTCCTCTCAGTTTCTGAACTGTCATGAGGTACACGTGGGAAAGGGGTGGATCTGCACTTCCTCGGGCCTCCTGTCCCCTGCCGCCAGGCACCTTCCATCTTTAGCCATCATGGCTCTTCCATCAAGGGAAAGGGACAGGCAGGAAGTGAGCACAGGTGTGTGATGACGACTTCCTGGACTACACACTGTTCTGCCACCTGTCTCCCCAATTCTCTTCTGTATCCCCATTCCCCGGGGAAATGAGCTAAGCGGGTGTCACACCTCCCCGGGGGCCGGAAAGGGGGGAAAGGCCCGGAGAGGTTCAGTGACTTCTACAGGGCTTCACAGCCAGGAACAGGGGGCAGTTATCCCTGAACTCAGGACTGGATGACTCCACACTCCCTGTCTCTCATCTGTCCTTCTGAGTGAGTGTGACAGGGATGAGACAGGAAGGACAGAAACTGGAATCCTGCCCCCCCCCCCTCTGCAGGCAGGATCCACACTCACCTGAGCAGAAAGGGTTGGTGGGGTTGAAGTTGATGGCGAACTCATGGGACACCTAGAAAGCAGACGACAGGCTGAGAGACAGCATCCTGCCCACACCGAGGCCAGCCCCTCCGAGGCTTTACTCTCTTACCCTGCCATTTTTAGGTTACTGATCCCTCATCTGCCTCCCTCACTTCATAATAGGGAAACTGAGACCTTACATGCCATCCACTGTGCTTTAGCAGGGGGGTGTCCAGGCTGCTGTGTACCTCCCTTGCCAAGCAAGAGACCCCCTGAATGGGACAGAGATGGCCCCAGGGGCAGTGGGGCCCTGGAACACTAGGAATGCCCCTGTTGCTCTTTCTACTTGTTTGGGCCTTGAAGGTGTTTCCAGTCTCAGCAGCAGGCAGGGAGCTGGACAGAAGTCTACCTCACACCTCATACAACTGGGATCGGCTGATTGTAGTGGGTAGCCATTCCAGCTTTGATCTGGAAGTTCCAACCCCCATTGAGGCTTCAGTAACTGTCACGCCTACAAGGTGGGGCCAAGAGAGGACCCTGAAGACCTGAGATCCAGATGTGCCACCTCTCTTGGTTCCTGGACCCTGGATGCTGGAGGTAGACTGAGCAGAGTTCTCCAGAGAACACCGCCGGACTGTGCCACATCTTCCCCAGACCCTGCAACCTACCTATCCCTTCATTTGTAAGTTAGGCCACTAAATAAACCTCCCTTTTAACTACGTGGAGTGGCCTGAATAATTTCACCAATAGCTGACCACCGCTCACTGCTAAACTAGGGGTCAGACCTTGCAGTGGGGCTGAGTGGGTCACACGCAAGCTGTGCAGCAACCCAAGGTCTGTTCCTGCATCCCTGTCACAAGTCCTGGCTCCCAGTCCCGGGCTGGAGGGTGGCCTTAGTGGTAAAGAGCACATACATGTTGCTCTTGCAGAGGACCTGAGTTCAGTTCCCAGCATCTACATCTGGTGGCTCACAACTACCTGTAACTCCAGCTGCAGATGAGTGAATGCCTCTGACCTCTGCCAGCACCTACAGTCACATGTGCATACCTCCCTCTGAGACACACACACACACACACACACACAATTAAACAAACTAAATCCTTTAAAAAAAAAAAAAAAAAAAAAAAGCTGGCCTCTCAAGCTCTAGAGCCAAGCCATGCCTGCTCCAGCCCCTGCTGAGGCACGAGGCTGGGTCCCAGATCCACTCTGTCACAAACAAAGACCTCACACCCACTGTGTGCCAGGTACTAGCACAGCAGGGGAGAACCAAGCGCCTCCACACAGAGAGCACAAGGAAATCACTGGGGGCTGTGAGGACAGGGCCAGGGCAGAGAGCCAACCCCCATGGGAGTGTGGGCAACACAGGCCAGAGTTCCCAGGGAGCAGGGGCACCAGGCTGGGACGGGTGAGGCTGGGACCCCGTGGAAGGAGGGCATCCACGGGGAGGAGTCAAAGGTGAAGGGCACATGGAAAGGCCCTGAGGTGGAAAGGGAGAGGGCAAGGCAGGCTCACAGGACGGGTAAGGTGGCAGGATGGGGACCGGGAGGGCCAGGCCTGCCATGCTCCGGCAGCGCAGGAGACAGGGCAGAGCATCTGTGCTCCCCTGGCCTCTTACAGTGCGTGGTTTAGCACCCCTGGGTGCTGAGCCTGGCCAAGCCCCAGCACCCCAGCATTACCCTGTGACATTTCCAAGGCTTTTGCTCAAGAAAACATCTCATTCAGCTGAGTTCTTTGGAAGCTGGCTGTTGTCCTAGCAACCAGCTCTTGCTGGGCCCGGCCACTGGCTCCCCCTGCCCCCACCATGGCGTCTATGCTTGCCCAGAAGCCCAGCCCGGGTCCCACAGAGTCCTGCCTCATGCGGTGCAGGGCCAGGATGTCCACTGTTCCTGTGTGAGACCCAGAGCCACTCGGAGGCTCCGGGTGAGCCCTGAGGTGAGCTGAAGGATGGGAGGCCATACTCGTTCTAGAAGTGTGCAGCACAACAGGGCAGACTAGACGGGGAACTGGCTGAGCTGGGCATGCTGTCCCCACAGGCTCCTCCTCTAGCAAGCAACAGATTTGGACGTGATCCCAGAGTTCGTCTGCCCACCTGGATCCCAGACCCCTGCAGCGAAGGTAACCTCAGGCAAGCCACATTAAAGCTCTGAGCCTTGGCTGCTCCATCTGTAAAATGGGATAGTGTCTATGGCTATGGTTGCAGACGCTCTCCTGCTCTGTGGTCTGTGTTCTCAGGGACTCCCCAAGCTGGGCCACCCAGAGTTTCCTCCTGCCATATGTGAGATCCTTACCTGCCCTCCACCAAGGCCACCCCAAGGGCATCTAGGGTCTCTTTTTCCTCCTGTCTCCTTCCCAGCATCTGAGACCTGCCTGCCCCGGCCCCCCTCCCTCCCCGATACTTTATCTCTATGGTCCACCCCATGTCCAACCAGGCCTCCCACTATTTCCATCCACTGGAGTCAGGGAGGCTGAGGGTCCCTCTCCCTGCCCTGTGACTCAGGCCACTCGGTACTCTATCCTCCCTGAACCCCCTTTGCCAGCCTCCTCCACTGTGGAAGAGGGACCACAGCAGCCCTCTGCAGCTGTGGTAAGGATGAAACAAAGCTGCCAGTCAGGTAGAGTTGCATGCAAAGCGCTCCCAGAGCCAACGCACACTGCTTCTTGACCTTTTGCCTTTCCTGACTTCCATGCTGTGACTGCTTCCTGGTCTGCACTCCTGACCCCCAGCTCAGTCCTGCTTCCCTGGCCAGCTCCGTGGGCCTTGCCTCTCCATCCCACCCAGAGTGGATCTTGCCCGGAAGCAGGTGTCTACGCCTTTGCCCTGAGTTCCAGACCATCCTCTGCTGGTCTCTTGGCCTCACTCACAGAGGAACAGGACTAAGACACAAGTGTAGTCTTGGCTGAGTGCACAGTAGACAGAACCCCGGAGCCCTCCACCCCGATGTGGCCCCAGCCCCAATCCCATCTCAACCAAAGGAGGTAGGGTCCGTTTCACTCACCTTCCAGTCAGGCGGTAACTGGGCCCCAAACCCCAGAGCAGGAAACATCTTATCACTGACCGGACAGAGAGAACATGTGAGACATTTGGGGAGCCCTCCCCACCCTGCCCCTCACCACACTCTTCCCTCCTGGTCCACAGCCCTGTGTACTTTCAGGGACAGAGAGCAGAAATTCACCCCTCTAGAGTTATTCCTCCCTAAGCCCAAGCCTAAGCCCATGTCTGGGTGGCAGTTGAACATGGCTTGACACATTTGTACCCACAGCAGACATTGTCTTAGCTTCGACCAGTGGGCCTGGAAGTGCCCTGTCGATCCTTCTCATTAAGGCAAGGTCACAGTGGAAGCGATTTCCTGTTTATAGTTGGGGGAAAACACCCCTAAAATGATCCCCATGACCTGCCTTCATCAGCCCCAGAGCCTAGTTTTCCCTTCTTCTTCCTGTCCCTGAGAGCCACCCCCACCCTGGCTTCTCACAGTTCCTCAGATATATAGGACACTTTACCTCAGCCAGCCACTATGTTCCATTTGAAATAGCCCTCCCCAAATCTGTTTGCCTTAGCAAACTCCTACTCATCCTCCAAGGCCCAACCAAAATGGCTCCTTCTGTCTATGGGGCACTGAGGGGCCCCTGAGACCCACATAACGCCCCTCTTTGGTGCTCCCGTGACTTCTGCCTCACATGTGAACAGGTGTCTCTGAATCCTAAGACTTCTACTGCTGAGAGCTTCCTGAAGGCAAGGACAATGTCTTATTAACTCATTCAACATTCCTATCACAGACACTCTGGCTGCTGTGGAGAACATGAACTGCCCAAGTCCAGGGCAGAGCAGGGAGGAGACCAGTTAAAAGGGGTGGGCAAGAAGCAGAGGCCCCAACTGGGTGTCCGAGCTCACTGGGGTTTTGCTGAGCCTGAGTGCCAAGGAAGGGCTGGGGCGACCCTGGATAGCAGGGTCTTCTGCCTGACCACGAAGCCTTCCTTGCTCTGTACGACGTGTGTATCTTAATGTGGCTTAGAGGCACAGCCACCTTTCAGGCCTGATCCCCTGAAACGGGGCCATCCAGGCCCTAGTCCTCGGCTGTGTACATTCAGACACATTTTTTAAAAAAGATAAAAACTAGGGTCTCACTATGGCTGGCCTAAAACTCACGCTGTAGACCAGGTGGACCTTAAACTAACAGACCTGCCTGCCTCTGCTTCCAGAGTGCTGAGTGTGGTCGGGCACTTACCAAGTCCCACCCAGGCCTGTTCCCTAGCTGTGAAAACAGAGACTGAGCTTCGTCTTCCGTCCTCACTCATTTTCTTACTGGATGATTGGTACATCATGTATAGAAAGATTGCAGTTTGAACCGGGCTTGGTAGGTAGGTGTACAGGAATCGATTGGCAATGTCTGCCGTGGGGACCGGAAGGGGCGATAACTGTGTGTATGCCACTTGCTCACCATAACTAGGCTTGCAGGTCCCTGGGTCCCTTCTAGCTCTGACAAGTTGAGCTTCCCAGTCTGAAGGGACATGGTCTGACCTTCAGAGTCATCTCCAAGTATACCTGTCATAGTCCTGAATGATCTGTCCCACTGCCCAGATGGCTGACAAGTATTCGTTGGTGCCCATGGGATTGATATAGTGTAGAGAAGAAGGGTCGAGGGGATTCCCGTTGGAGGCTGTGAAGTCTATTCCAACCTGCAGAAGGAGGAAAAATGCCAAGCAGTGTGGCCACCCACCCCAGATGCCCAGCACAGCCTCAGGGACTAGGGCCTAGTGGACACAGGAAGTCTACTCTAGTCAAGATTAGGGCTGGAGCCTGCAAACTGATCCTGTTTCTACTCTTCTGCTCCGGTGTCACCCGTGGCAGGAATGGCTTGCCGCCCTCTGGGGCGAGGAGCGGGAATCGGACTCTGAGGCCATTTGGAGTTATCACTATAGCCACAGGCAAAGGGGCTTTTCCATCTTGCAAACAAGTGACAGACAGTCCAGCACTCACTAAGTGGCAGGGGTATGTAATGAGCTGAGGAAGGAGGAGAAAGAAAACAGAGACTTCAGGGCACTTCCAGTCTAGGGGAGGGGCAGATGCAGAGGAGTGGAAAATTCCTAAGATGCTTTCGGACAAGACAAAGAATGCCAGATGTGTCAGAGGACAGGAAGCACCAGGGGAGGGTCTCCGAGAAGGAGGCAGAGGGAACGTGCAAAGCCCTCGGGTGGGCAGAGAACAGCCAGGAACAGAGGTGTGGCTCAAGTGAACGGGACAGGAGGCAGGAGGAGCAACTGAGCAGGGGAACCCTCCTGGCCAGTGGGAGGAACTGACCTTCCTTCTCTGTAGAGGGGGCTGGGGAGGGGGAGGGGGAGGGGGAGAGGGAGGGCCTGTGTATCCCACTCTGCCCCCAGCCAAGCCTGACTAGGTCTGCCCACCAAAAGAAACTCCCCATGCCCTCTCCTCTGAGGCTAGTTGCATCCCTTGCCCCAAGGAAGTCCTTGCTAAAGTCTATCACAAGTCCCTGCTGCTGTGGCAGAGGCCTGAGCCCTGAGGGAAGACGGTGGATGGGCTGGTGATGTGGAGGGGCCTTACTGTGAACATGAGCTGGCAGCCTCCCAGGATGTAGTCCAGGAATGAGTAGTTTCGGTGTATCTGGAAGAATGGGTGAGTCAGTGGGTTCTGTTTGGCTATGAATGTCCCTGCAGGAGTTGGTGGTGCTTGTGCCCTGGAGCCCCAGGAGGAGGCCAGAGGCAGCAGCTGGGCCTGATCTTATCACAACAGTCTCCAAAGCTCTCCAGCAAAGGCAAGGAGTGGATGAGGACCCCAGAACACAAGTGCCACTCTAGGCAGGGACCAGCTTCCCAGAGCCAGTCACACCTGCCAATTAATCGTCCAACAGAGAAAGCCTCCATTCACCACTCACTGGGTGCTGGGCAGCCACCTCCCTGAGCCCTGGCTGCCTCCCTTGCTAACACCCACAAAGTGCAGACGCCCATCCAAGGCCTCCTGAGAGACACCACATCTGCCTGCCATTAAAGCCTTTGCCTCCTCTCAGCAAAATGTTGGCCTTTCCCTGGTCAGTGGCATCAGGGATCTCTCCAAGGGAAGTGTAATTAAGCAAAATTTTAAAGGGGAATCCCTCTCCCACACCTGTCATGCCTGCGCTTGGAAAGATGACACGTTAGAGGCCAGCCTGGACTGCACAGGCAGACCATCTTAAAACGGGGCTACAATGGAAGAGACAGCCAGGCGAGTGCCGAAATGTGCTGAGCAGCAGGTATTTCGGAAATGGATCCAGAATCGAGCTTGGCATTTACAGAGCACTGTCTGTAGCACTGCCAGTGAAGGCCCCTGTGACCCTGTGACAATCTGGCCTCTAGATTAGAGTGGGGAGGCCTCAGCAGGCAGCAAGGCCATGCTCTCCTGCACCTCAGGCTGAGCCAGGGGCACTGTCCACTCATGCCGCCTCCTGACTGTCCTGTCTGCCAACATGGCTTGGCCACAGTGCTCTGAGCCTTGGTGGCCTCATTTCTACCAGGGAAACCACAGCTGCCTGGGTCCTCACTGATGCCAGAAAGCCAGGGTGCTCAGTCCCACAGCCTCTGCCCCAAGGAGACAGTAAGCCTCCAGGGTGGGCGGAAATGATTCCCTGTAGTCCTCCAGGTAGAAAAGTCACCTGGGAAATCAGCTCATACCCTCCTTGGCTCTGCAGAGGAAGGGAACAGAAGACTAAGCCGGAGCATGCTCTACCTTTTTGACGCAGCCATTCTACAGACAAGGAGACCAAGGCCTCTGCACCCTCCACTCACCTTACATGACCTCAGGATAATGATGCCCGAGTTCTTGTAGCTCTTCTTCTTCCTCTGCTTCTTGGGGTTGATGCACTCCATCTCCAGCTGGCCCCATGGGAAGGAAGGGAAGCTCAGCTGGGGTATCCCAAAACCCCATCCTCCCAGGGCCCCAGAATCCCCTCTACAACCTAGACCCAGAGGCAGATGCCTCCCCAGAGAGGTTCCCTGGGTGGCCTCCTCCAGACCACTCTCCGGGTGCCCAGGCTTTGGGGGCTGCTCTCACTTCATCCATACCCTGAACTTTTACCCCATAGACAGAGGGAGAAACTGGGGCTCAGGGAGACTGTCTCGCTCAAGGTCATATAGGCAGAAGAGGTGTGGTTGGACATCTGTCTGCTTGGGTCCAAGTGCTGGATTTCTTTGCAGTCACTGCTGAGACCTGGGGATCACAGCACACATGCCCATCTTACCGGGACGCCATCCCGAGCCTCGTTCATCTGCAGCACAGAGGTCTGGAACTCGCCGATGAAGTCATGGCCTCCGTTACTGTCGTAGTCATAGCACATAACCTGGGACAGGTTCAGCATGGTCACCCTAGAGCTGTCCCCAGGAGGTGCTCTCAGCCCGTTCACACCTGAGCAAGCTTCATGTCTACTGTGTGGGCATTCCCTCCCATGGTCTGGTCTGTCTAGCCTGGGAGCTCTTGAGCTGCCTCCTGCAGGAAGCTTTCCATGATTCCCCAAGGGTGGAGCCTGTGCTGCTTACTCTACCCACCTGGCACCTGCTCCTCCTCTGGCCAGGCCCAGACCCTCTGCAGCCCTATCCAGCCACTCTGCAGTCCTTGCAGGCGGATTATAGCAGGGCTCTTGGGGGTGGGGATCCTGCCCAAGTCCTGAGGGCCAGGCAGCTCCAGGCCTTGAACCTAGGACCCCTGCCTTCTCATAAGAAGGGGCTCTTCCTAGTTTCAAATACATATACCAGGAGGCTCACTGGGGTGGGCTGGAACATGGCCCCAGAGTCACTAACCTGGATGGGCTTCTCCAGGTCCCCATCACACAAGGACACCAATGGCACAGTGAACGGCTTCCACACAGGGTCCAGAGTGTACTTGATCACCTGGGAGACAGGGAGGAGCAGAGCGCTCAGAGGCCCGTTAGAGATGGGGGTGAGGAGACGGGCAAACCCATAGCCATGCTTCCGACTTCGGAATGGAATGTTCCCGTGGCCCTTTTAGTGTGATCTACCTGGCTGGGGCAGCACAGACCACCCCTACTGTCAGCTTGATTAACCAAAAAGTCCCGAGACCCCCACCCAAGGCCCCTTTTACCTACCTCTGTCCTATGGACTAGCATCCATTTGCCGTCATCTCCTGGCTTGTAAAACTCAAGAAATGGGTCTGACTTCCCGAAGAGGTCCTGCGGGGAGGCCAGACATGTGTGAGGGGGGTGGCCCTACCGGATTCAGGGGGCTGGAGTGCAGGCCAGCCAGATACCCTGATTCAGGGTTGGTGGGAGCTACAGGGCAGCCAATCTGTCCCTCCTCTTCCTCCCCCACCCCCGGCCTCCTCAAGGTTCAGCCAGAGGCCTGGTGCTACCACCTGAGAAATGAGACGCCCCCACAGTGAGGCAAGGGTTCCGTGTCTAGAGACCCATGCCTTGGGTGCAGGAACAGAGGCAGCACACGGCTCCCAGAGGGCCATGCCTGTCGGAAGGCCAGGCCCAAGGACTTTAGTGAGACCACACACCTAACCCTAGAGTGCCGGCCAGTGGCATGGCTCAGCAGAGGATGCTTGCCATCGAGCCCGAAGACTTGAATTCGCCCTCTAGAATCCACAGGAGGAAGGAAGAGAGCTGACTCCAGAAGCTGTTCTCTGACTGTGTGGTGTCCCCCCCCTCCAAATGTGATAAGTAAATAAACCTATGAAGCCCGTCACCAAAGGGCAAGAAGGCATCTAGAAATTCACTTATGTTAGTTAAAAAAAATGGCACTCTAAAAGAAGTTATATGCAAGGAAAGGAGACAGAGCGAGTCGATAAGAATGTACAGGACATCAGTGTGCGTCAGGGAGACAGGCAACGTGAGTGATGACAGGCGACTGAAGGCCATTGTCACGTCTGTCCCCAAGAGGGGGTTACAGTTAGAATGTGGGAAGAGCCACCATGCAATGTTCCCAGAAGAGGGTCTCAGGCGGAGAGAAGAGAGTTCAGTGGGCCTGGGACGGGAGGGTGCCTGGTTTAACCTGGGCACCCGGTGCTGCGGCTCCAGGGCAGAGCCCTGGCCTAGCGGATGTGAGGTGCTGGGTGCCATCCTCAGCCCTGGAAAATGAGAACATTAATAAAGCGGAGGAAAGCAAGAGGGTCTGGTCTAACCGGGCG